AAAATATTATATTACTTATATATATATATATATATAACTTTCAAGCAACACTATTTTTGAACAGAAATGTTGAAAAATATTCAGCACCTGTAAATCATTTTATGGGATATATAATGTACAGTAGGTGATCGGTTAATGAACAAATTGGATAACGAACACTTTCGTGAAAGATTTTTATGATTGGATAACGAACACTTCACTGAACAAACACAAGAAGAAGCGACATAAAATAACGAATACCGAATGGTCTTCCTTTGTCTTCAGGCAACAATTTGAAACTTTTCGGAGTGGGGGAGACGTAGATGTTCAACCCAGTATATAGGTCCTACTGATCGGATAGTATTCCCCCAAACTTTGAAACTCTCCCTTGTAATTCCAGCCTTTTATATTTCTGATAGAAACAATTATTTTACGTTTTCTTCTGAAAAAGTGGATTTATGCCGATATCTGCTATTAAAGATCTTTCGAAGAAGTGGGAGGATGTCAGAACAACGGTCTTAAAATGGCATCCAAACCAGGTTGAGATTAATAGGCTTAGGGATCTCTACAATTACAATGCTATTAATTACTTCTGAAAAATCATGAAGACAGAAAAGCAATCGACATTGGAAAGATTCTTTAACCACACAAACGGAAAAAACATGACAAATAAAAATGCAAGACCATGTATATATGTATTTTTATTATTACATATATACTTTCTTACTACGTTTATTCATATTTTTTACTTTTTGGAAGTCTCCAGAACGAATTAATCAAATTCCCATTGAAATTTATGGTAAATCGATAATCGGTTAACGAACAAAGTCTTGGAATGGATTATGTTCGTTAACCGATCACCCACTGTATATTGGAACTTTCAATACATATTTGATATTCTATTCCTATGCCAATTGATCTTCAGTAAATGTTTCAATTCCATTATTTCAAAAATATTATTCATTTTTAAAGAATAGTTCTTACAAATTAATTTTAGATGGGATATAAATATTCCAGCAAATTAATCATCTGTCAATTAAATTTGTAAGAACTATTCTTAAAACATCCTTTTTATATTAATTTATTTTTGAAAGATTAAAAATCTATTCTTATTATTACAAACATTAAGCTATATCTAAATATAAATTGCACTTGTTATTGTCTCTCTTACTATACCTTTGTCCAATGAAGATACAAGTTTTCAAGGTTTAATAAGCAGTTGGGTTTCCTAATGACTAACGTATCTTGTTTAATGTTTCCAGTATATTATTAAAAATATAAAAATACTAATATTTTTTTCAGGACTTTCTTTTTTGAAAAGGATTAGTATTTTTATATTGTGTAATGTTTATATGAAGTCAATGATAACAAATACTTAAGAAAATATATTTCTATTACTTTTTCAAATTATAGATGCATTTAAAATGAAAAAAACCTAGGTTAAAATGTGAAATTTTTGTTCTTTTTGTCTATATGTTACTGTAAATGATCGATATCTGGCGAATGTCAACATTCACACAGTCATTTTGTGTATGTACGAAATATTTACTAAATATCATTATTTCTCACTTACACCGGCAAATGTCGACATTCAACATGCACTGATGGTGAGTGTTGAATAAAAATATTTTCATTACATTAAGACAAAAATGCAACTTTTTAATATGTCAAAATATGACTTATATAGGTTTAAGTAATAGTGCATGTAAATAAACTGTTGAACCTAAAACAAACAGTACATTCTTAATCAGAAAAGAAAAATAATATGCAATAGTAAACTCACACATATATTATGTGATTAACGTTTTAAAATCTCATTTATTGCAACAACTTAAACTGTTATGGCACTTAATTGCACGAGAGTTCCTTGCTTTTACAACTGCATTTATTCGTGGAAAACTTTTTGCAATGACAGCATGTGTAGCCTTGCCCTTCTCTTGGCAATATTTCTTAAGAAGAAATCTATGGAAAGTAACATTTCTTTACAAATTACGAAGTGATTACGGGTATAAAGCTGCTTGAGAGCAGAGCCGTAACAAAGATTTTGGACGCCTATGGCCAAGAATAAAAATGGTGCCTTTTTACTTTTTATTATTAAAAATAAATAATAATTTTATTCTAAAAAAATGCTATTATAAAAAATTATCTAATGACATTTAAATACTATATAAATATAAATACTGTATAAAAAATTTTTTGTGTTATTAATGTGAGGGACGAACAGACCCACAATAAAGTATTATTTTAAATTTTAATTATTGGAAAATTTAATCGGTTAAATTCGAATGTTTTATCGAGTTAGGCTAAAAGCCATAAAAATTATTTCCCACGGAGTTTGTTCCTTGTTGAGTCGAATCAAGTTAGTNTTTTATATTTCTGATAGAAACAATTATTTTACGTTTTCTTCTGAAAAAGTGGATTTATGCCGATATCTGCTATTAAAGATCTTTCGAAGAAGTGGGAGGATGTCAGAACAACGGTCTTAAAATGGCATCCAAACCAGGTTGAGATTAATAGGCTTAGGGATCTCTACAATTACAACACAATTAATTACTTCTGAAAAATCATGAAGACAGAAAAGCAATCGACATTGGAAAGATTCTTTAACCACACAAACGGAAAAAACATGACAAATAAAAATGCAAGACCATGTATATATGTATTTTTATTATTACATATATACTTTCTTACTACGTTTATTCATATTTTTTACTTTTTGGAAGTCTCCAGAACGAATTAATCAAATTCCCATTGAAATTTATGGTAAATCGATAATCGGTTAACGAACAAAGTCTTGGAATGGATTATGTTCGTTAACCGATCACCCACTGTATATTGGAACTTTCAATACATATTTGATATTCTATTCCTATGCCAATTGATCTTCAGTAAATGTTTCAATTCCATTATTTCAAAAATATTATTCATTTTTAAAGAATAGTTCTTACAAATTAATTTTAGATGGGATATAAATATTCCAGCAAATTAATCATCTGTCAATTAAATTTGTAAGAACTATTCTTAAAACATCCTTTTTATATTAATTTATTTTTGAAAGATTAAAAATCTATTCTTATTATTACAAACATTAAGCTATATCTAAATATAAATTGCACTTGTTATTGTCTCTCTTACTATACCTTTGTCCAATGAAGATACAAGTTTTCAAGGTTTAATAAGCAGTTGGGTTTCCTAATGACTAACGTATCTTGTTTAATGTTTCCAGTATATTATTAAAAATATAAAAATACTAATATTTTTTTCAGGACTTTCTTTTTTGAAAAGGATTAGTATTTTTATATTGTGTAATGTTTATATGAAGTCAATGATAACAAATACTTAAGAAAATATATTTCTATTACTTTTTCAAATTATAGATGCATTTAAAATGAAAAAAACCTAGGTTAAAATGTGAAATTTTTGTTCTTTTTGTCTATATGTTACTGTAAATGATCGATATCTGGCGAATGTCAACATTCACACAGTCATTTTGTGTATGTACGAAATATTTACTAAATATCATTATTTCTCACTTACACCGGCAAATGTCGACATTCAACATGCACTGATGGTGAGTGTTGAATAAAAATATTTTCATTACATTAAGACAAAAATGCAACTTTTTAATATGTCAAAATATGACTTATATAGGTTTAAGTAATAGTGCATGTAAATAAACTGTTGAACCTAAAACAAACAGTACATTCTTAATCAGAAAAGAAAAATAATATGCAATAGTAAACTCACACATATATTATGTGATTAACGTTTTAAAATCTCATTTATTGCAACAACTTAAACTGTTATGGCACTTAATTGCACGAGAGTTCCTTGCTTTTACAACTGCATTTATTCGTGGAAAACTTTTTGCAATGACAGCATGTGTAGCCTTGCCCTTCTCTTGGCAATATTTCTTAAGAAGAAATCTATGGAAAGTAACATTTCTTTACAAATTACGAAGTGATTACGGGTATAAAGCTGCTTGAGAGCAGAGCCGTAACAAAGATTTTGGACGCCTATGGCCAAGAATAAAAATGGTGCCTTTTTACTTTTTATTATTAAAAATAAATAATAATTTTATTCTAAAAAAATGCTATTATAAAAAATTATCTAATGACATTTAAATACTATATAAATATAAATACTGTATAAAAAATTTTTTGTGTTATTAATGTGAGGGACGAACAGACCCACAATAAAGTATTATTTTAAATTTTAATTATTGGAAAATTTAATCGGTTAAATTCGAATGTTTTATCGAGTTAGGCTAAAAGCCATAAAAATTATTTCCCACGGAGTTTGTTCCTTGTTGAGTCGAATCAAGTTAGTNAAAAATCTGATAACTATATACTACTTTTACTGTCAATGAATAAACCGATATTTGAAAATAATCAACAATTAATAATAATGATCACCTATATTCCTCCCAATTGTCTGGCAAAACTTAATGAAATATTTAAAATACTGGAGCTTTGGCAGCATTCTACTCCATATACTCTCTTATTAGGAGATTTTAATGCACGAATTGCTGAGATGACAGATTCATATTATAGTGGTCCTAATCAACAAATTCAAAATATCAGACAATCCAAAGACAATTCTACTAATAAACTTGGAATAAACTTAATAAAATTAACAAAAGATAATAAACTATATATTTTAAACGGACGCATTAAAATGGATTACCCAGCAGAATTTACATGTGTTGAACATAATGGTAGTT